AATAATTGAAATATGCTCATCTCTGCACCTGCTTATTTGGTTCATTACCAGATCATCGATAATTTAAAATGAATTAAAACGATGCCAGGATGATAGTCAGGATGACAACACTCTTTCACTAAGATCAATAAGTTTGTTTTACAGTAAAAAWAAATAAAAATAAAATAAAATAGTCGAAAGAAAGAACAAGATTAAAAGCTTTCCAAACTCGTAGGCAGAGACAATCTCGCGTCAACTTAAGTTGCGTATAACACAGTACTGGTACTAGTTGGGTATAATTCATTTATATCAGTACGTCATAACCGGCAAAAACCGTCCGATGGCCAAGTAGTTTGGGGCAAGATCTTACACCCCACTATTGAAAACACATACAAAAACGTTGAAATTCTGTTACTTTGAAGTTTCTTTTAGTTCAGAAGCATGATTATGACATTTTTAATATAGCTCACTTCAGACGAAATAATTTCTTCAAGGGAATCGCATATGACTCCATGGTTTCCAAAGTTTTCTTTTAGCACAGCCCAAAAATACCTCGTTTTCATGTCTGCGCCTGCGATATTTATGAAAGCGCTTGCGCATCTTTAAAATCGTCTATTGACACTTGCCTGACTACTGTTCAAAGACAAAGGATCGATATATGGATACTTTACACTTATGCACCATACCCACCCGTGGAATCCGATAAAAATCCTCCAGTTATAGCGGCCCCAAGATTATAAGGCCCACCGGCCTGTCTGCTAAACAGGGAGAAATTTCTTCCTAGTTGTATCCTCCCCCCTTCTCTATACCCGGTTATAATCATAATAAATAATATTAATGAGTCTTTATTCATTCACAAGATAAAAATGTGTAAGAAAATGTGATAAAAATGTGAATGAATAGAGTGCAAACAATATAACCGTGAAACTTTAGTAATACTAAATAGCACAATTTCATTCAAATTCCATTGTTTTCTAGTGTTTATTTAGCACTATTTTGTACTATTTAGTAATTAGTGTTTCACGGACTAATTGTTTGCACTCTAGTATAGCTTAGCAAGAAATTATATATAATATAGTAAAAACTGTATACAAATTATATTGCAAGATCATACTTAAAGTGCCACTATACGATCAAATTTCTGACTTTTTACCTGCATTGAAAGTCCTTTGTTAGGAGAGTAAAATGTGACTTTGTTTTTTCAAATATCTATTTTTCTCCAAAAGATATCGGAGTTTAAAAAATGGTGGCCATTTTTCCCCATGACATCATATGCTCAATACTTGAGCAGCCTAAGATTATGATATATATCTCAGCCCAGATTTCAATCTAAACATATCAACCAAATTTTATAGCGGTTATAGTACTTTAGCTGTTCTTCAAAAGTAGCTATAGAAATTGTTGTTACGAAGACTGTTGTTCATTGAAATGGATGTTGTAATTTTTATCTTCTTTATAAAAACCCCACCCCCCCCCTCTCCCCACTCCACCCTCCCCAAAAACCTCTTTAAGAAATTGTATATAGAAATTTATATTAGCCATTACGAAGAAGTCGAGGAAAGAAAGTAACTATACGAATTGGCACTGTAGTGCATTGTAAGATATATAGATTACTTCATAGAAAGTGCGGATTACAGGGTTTGATAACACAGATTTACTGTATGGAATTCTAATAATATATATATAGTAAATATTTTTACGTTACTATCTTTCTTTGTTTTACCGACCAAGTAAARTGACGTGTAATTGAACATTTCTTGCCCTTGCGCAGCTAGATTCATAGAAAATAAAAATAAAAACAACAACAAAGACAAACACCAGCGAACACGTCATTCATTCCATTTTATTTATTGGCATTAAAAGTTCTTGATGTCAATGCAGTGGCTTTTATTTTTGTTCTTCTCTTTCATTTCGTCTTTTTTAGCATTTATATTCTCTTGCCATCTCACATATTTCCTCTCTGTTTGTCGTCAACGCACGTTCTTCCCACAGGCTGCCTTGACTCCCCTAGAAAAGAAAATATTTAATATAATTATTTATCATCAAAATTTCCCTGCATTTCTCTATATTTTTCTGAACCCTGAACATCTCTCAGTGTGGGCTACTTTAAGTCAGGGCACGGCTAACTCACCGCAGATCGAATTGGAATCACTTTAGCAAGATCGAAGAACCGTAAAGAAAATTTTCGAATCCAAGGACGGAAACTCTACGCGTAATGCCTTTGTATTATTGAGTTTATGAAGAAAACCGATGATGGGAGAGGAGAGATTTATCGAGATATATAAGGTTTCGCTTGAGTATAAAACTAGCGACAAATCACGGGGCGTGGCATCATTTAGTACAAAGAATAGAGGCGATCGCGGCAAGGCATGTAAATCACATTGTGATGAGTTTTTCAACATTTCTACGAAATGTAACTTCATATACTTAATAATAATTTATGGAATGAAAGACGACAGTGGATTTTCATGGTCAAATACATTTATTTTATTTCCGGTGCATTTTGCCTTAATTTGATGATTTTTTTCCCTTCCTTCCTTCCTTCCTTCCTTCCT